GTTTTAACCGTTCAGATGACTCTTCAGAATCTGCTGTAATCTTTGGAGCCACTTGATTGTGGCTGATTCCTTGAAGCCTCATTGTGATTGCCTATTGCCACCAGAATAGCAAGGTTACTGCAACTGTTGTGTTCCCTTCTGTTGTTATCAGGTTATTTCTCCTGGATATCATGCTGCAATGTTTTTCCAGTCAAATGGCAATACGATGCCTTTGCTGTAGATTCTGGGAATGTGGATCAGTTAGTCAGTTTATGTGTCAGCCATTCTTGGCATATGGCGTGATGTCATCCATTTAGATATGGTGATGATCTGGCTTAGGGGGTCAAGGCCTATGCACAACAGCAGCAACAGAGCATCACCTTGTTATATGCCACATTTGACTTGCAGTTGATTTTTATTCGATGTCTAGGCAGGAAGTGCGGCACTGAGTTGGAGGAAAGAAAAATGTTTTCAATCCAGGAAGTGCACAGGCTAGTGTGTCTGGTCTCAGGCAATGGCTCTGTCAACCAGCAGATGGTGCTTGGATCCTCTGGTGGTGCTGCCAACTCCCTCCTGGGTTCTGCTCATGTACTGAGTATTATCTGGAAATAGAAAAGCTAAAAGACAATAATGATATTTATATTTAACATCTACATTTAGGTGATCCCTAATATCTCCCCTTCTTCTTTTATAACTATTAACTACTCTAACTTTATTAATGGTGGTCTTGAAAATGATCCTCAAAGCAATGTTAACTAGCAGGACGACCAGTCAAAAGACGAGCAAATGGAGAGTTATTTTCTCTTTTAAACTTAATGAAGTTGGATTGTGCATTGCTTCTCTGGATAATATATATTTTGAAAGAATTTCATGGAAAATTAAAACAAGCACAACTGTTAACACATAGTAAATGTTCCATTACTCAGATTAACACTGTAATTATTGGGATACAGTCTGGACGTCTTATTTATTCCTTGTGCTTATATCACTCTGAGAGGAGGCTTCATCCAAGGTGGATCACAACATTGTTGTGTTTGCCTAGCTTTACTGATTATTTGGGATAAAACACACACGCACATGCATGCACGCACACATAACACACACACACATGCATGCACGCACACATAACACACACACACACACACACATGCATGCACGCACACATAACACACACACACACACACATGCATGCACGCGCACATAACACACACACACACACACACACATGCATGCACGCGCACATAATACACACACGCATGCATGCACGCACATATAACACACACACACACACGCATGCATGCGCACATAATACACACACATGCACACATGCACGCGCACATAATACACACACACACGCATGCATGCATGCATGCATGCACGCACACATAACACACACACACACACACACACACGCATGCATGCACACGCACATAATACACACACACATGCATGCACGTACACATAACGCACACACACACACACACACACACACACACACACGCATGCATGCCCGCACACATAACACACACACACACACACACACACCTGCTTTGCAGTGATGTGGTCAGAGCTTTAGACAGTAGACAGCACATTCTGTGGCTTGGAGGGTATTTTGTCCCTGATCGTGTCCTCAAACTCTTCTCTCCAGATAATTACCAAGTCTGCATGCTGCAAGGGACTCTTCATGTTTTTATGTGCACCCCCATTTCTAATGATGCCCTGCAGGGGAATCTAGGGTCTGTTTTTCATAATTCATGTTTTGCTTACAAAGTGTAAAGACTGCTGTTTCCCAGACCCGTCCCTCCTCCTCCACCAGCTTCTTGTTAAACTTCCGTTTTGGAGTTTGGAGTGTAAACTGATATTTTTAAGTGGAAAATCTTTCTACCTTTATGACACGCACCGGTCCCTACTGCTGCAGCACAATGTGCTCCAACAGAGTGAGGAAAAGCTGCTCATGGAAACTGTTTCCTCCTTTTTTTTAATGATTATGCTTTCAGGAAGGCTGCCAGCCACAATCAGTCTCAGCGTTGGCACAGATGCTCATTTAAAGGGAATGTGGAAAGAAAGTTTTTTCTAAATGATTATTTTTTAGTACCGCATTTGGGAAAAGCATTCACGTGAAACGATCCTTATGAAATAATGAAGCTTTACATGCAGAGACAGTAGATGCAGACGTACACACACACACACACACACACACTCACTTGTGGCTGTGATGCATGACATGGAGTGTGTGTAAAATGAAGGGTGTTTTGCTGCTCGCTCTACAGAGAAGGATTATGACAGCAAATGGCTTCTAGAATTTATTTGTGGTCGGCTACTTTCATCTGTTAAATATTTCAATGCTGCAGTCATTTTTTAAGTTGCATTGCTGGCATGTGGCTACATCATGCTAACTTCTCCCGGAGGCCTCTCATCACCCTGTCCCTCTGGAAAGGCTCGTATATCACATATTCAGATATCCTGCAGCTCCTGTTGGTCGATTCTGTCTGAGCACCAGCTCCACAGATTTTGTCTTGAGGGAATTATACTGTCACTTCCTACTCGAGCGGCTAGATTATAAAGACAACAAAAATATCTTGATCACAGTTTTTTGTGTTATTATTGAAATCCTAACTATTCAGCATAATGACCCTCTGAGATGGAAAGCTCATAGCGTGTGTCTCTGGTGCATCTCACCAGAATAAGAGCACCAAGTGAGTCCAGACCACCAGACTGTTGAACTATGACCTATGTTCATTTTATCCCGTTTCCATCCTTTTCAGCAGGTTTGCCGTGGAGGATGGCTGCAGCCAGGATCCTCTGGAGGTTTCTTCCTGTTAAAAGGCAGTTTTCATCTCCACTGTCGTTAAATGCTTGCTTAGTATGAGGATTGCATCGAGTCACTGACTAGTGTCAGTGACTCGATGCAATTTGCTGGGTTCCTTATTTAGGAAACTTTTTCCTGATTGGCTTAATGAACTGACCTGTACTGGAATGTTTACTGTGTGAAGGTCCTTGAGACGACTCTTGTCCTGATTTGGCGCTATACAAATAAACTTGAATTGAACTTGAAAATTGAAAATGAAATGGAAGATTCTGGAGTAAAAGTGAAACTAACTCAGAGAGTTTGAACATGTGTTTACCATGTTTCATTGGTTGCTGGTCTCCTTTAGCCCACCCCCAGGTCCTGACGACCTAAGAATCAGTCGGTGTGTTTACGTGCACATCTAAGTCGATCTAAAGTAATAAATTGGAAGGCTTTATTTTTGTTTATGTTAGAAAACCGTACCCTCTATTGAAGTTTGAGCGGGGGAGTGAAGCAGATGAAGTTCAAACAGAATGAGCACAATGGCTGAAGGAATGGACAACAGCACAGTCGATCTGGTTCGTACAGAACTGTTAGTTGGTGTTACTTTGTGGTGATGATATCATCACAAGACCACTTCCACGATCTCGTCATTTCCAGAAGTTACCGGTATCAGCCGGGCTGAGTCGCTTACGTGCAGATGAAGTCGGTTTCCTACAGATTCTTCTGGGTGCTTCAGCACGATTAGAACCAGTGTGCCTTCCACCAGACTAACGCGTTCCCATGCATTTCAAAACAACAACAGTCTCTCAGTGGAACGGTTCCCAACCAAGTGTGAAACGGCTGGGATGAGAATCAGCTCCTCTAACTCTGAGACCATGGTCCTGAGTCGGAAAAGGTTAGAAAAGGTCTTGTTCACAAATGAGGGAAAGCCAGAGCGTGATATCGACAGGCGGATTGGTGCTGCATCTGCAGTGATGCGGGCGTTGTACCGGTCTGTCTCCGCACGGTGTCTGGGCTCTCGCTTAAAGATAGGGTGAGAAACTCGGTCATCCGGGAGGGGCTCAGAGTAATAATAATAATAATGCATTGAACTTATAGAGCGCTTTTCTAGACACCCAAAGACGCTTTTCACACACTCTCACATTCACACACTGCTAGTGATGGTAAGCTACTTGTAGCCACAGCCTCCCTGGGGAGGTCTGACAGAGGCGAGGCTGCCATTTGGCGCCGTCGGCCCCTCTGACCACCACTAGCACAGGCAAGTTGGGTGAAGTGTCTTGCCCAAGGACACAACAGCAGGATACCCCTGGCGGGAGCTGGGCTCGGACCCATGACCCTCCGATCAGAGTAGAGCTCCTCCTCCACATTGAGAAGAGACAGTTGAGGTGGCTCGGGCGTTTAGTTAGGATGCCTCCTGGATGCCTCCCCGGTGAGGTTTTCCAGGCATGTCTAACTGAGAGAAGGCCTAAAAGAAGACCCAGGACACACTAGAGGGACTGTGTCTCCCACCTGGCTAGGGAACACCTTGGGATTCCCCCAGATGAGCTGGACCAAGTGGCTGGGGAGATGGACGTCTGGGCCTTCCTGCTTAGGCTACTGCCCCGGTGACCCAACCCCGCATAAGTGGCTGAAAATGGATGGATGGATGGAACAACAGTCTGTTGAGGGCAATAGTTTGATTTTCTGATGGGCATGTAAAGAAACTGATTTGTTAGAGATCAGATCCTACGAGTCTAGATATCAGATCTACAGAGGTCTTAACCGTCAGGTCTAAATCTGAGACAACACAGAAAATCAAACTAAAATAACACAAGCTTTAAATATCTTAAATCAGCAAGAACAGACACGTACATGCCTAAGGAAATGTAAATTATGGTAGTCTTTAACATTAAAGAGACACCTTTTTATTTAACTCAGCATTAAGACCACGGTGTGTTTCTCATTTCTAATCTGAGAGAGTTTCCGAGGTGAGGTGTGTGTTTTTCCTGGCTTGGATGATCGAGGATCCTTCCCCCGAAGCTAAGGACAGGATTTGTTTTGAGTCATTGAATCTGTTCATGTTGAACAGTTAACTAAAATATTCCTGTACATACTTATAATATGAAGTTGTTGGTAAATGTTTTTCTACAAGGACCTCCCAGCTGACAGGAGGTCTGACTGTGAACCAAAAGCTGCTTTTGTCTGAGTCCCCATCAGCATAAAGGCACTAGAAGGAATGTGGACGTCAGGATATATTTGAACCTGTTTAATCTCAGATTTAAAAAAAAAAAGCAACAGAAGGAGAATTCTTTACAGTCCTGCTAACAGTGACTCTCGTACAACAACATAAATACTGTGCTGGAAAAAAGGAATTTCCCCAAAATTAATCTTTTTCTGTCTCTCTTTGTAAACATTAAAAAAACACAATTCATGTGTCCTCAGTTCTCAACAAGACAACATCAAAAGAACAACAAGAGTTTGTTTGTGAGGCTGAGCCGCGTCTAGCCCATGACCAGAGTACAGGACCTTCCTGTTCTCAGATCAGTTTAACGTCTGAAGGTGTAAACAGTGCTCAGGCGTGTGTGTGTGTGTGTGTGTGTGTGTGTGTGTGTGTGTGTGTGTGTGTGTGTGTGTGTGTGTGTGTGTGTGTGTGTGTGTGTGTGTGTGTGTGTGTGTGTGTGAGGGGGCAGGGTTAGCGTTCCAACCATCAGAAGAGGCTTGTCAGTGTGGTCTGTGAGGGGCTTCGGCACTCGTGGACGTCCATGCCGCCAGGCACCGAGGTGAGGACAGATGTGACAGTGGGCATGGTGGGGTTCGTCAGGTCCGTTAGGGTGGTGGGGGTGCTGGAGGGGCTCATGGAGGCGTTGGAGATCTCAGAAGCTGGGCCTGAGGGCGTCCCACCCTGCATTGTGGAGCCATCAGATGCTTTGTCCACCCCGGTGTTCTCCTGTCGCAGCAGGTTCCTCCTGAACTTTGCTCGAGCATTCTGGAACCAGACCTGCCAATAAAATACATCACAACTATTTATGGCAAGTAGGGATGGGTGGTAGGGAAACCTTTTCAAGTCACATTTTTATCAATTAATCATTTTGATTTGAGGGTATTTTTTTCCCATCTCCAGGTGTTGCTATGGAAACATGTAAAGAAACCACATTGCTAGCTACAGAGATGTTGTTTGCTAGGCTACATCTGTTAGCAAGATAAACGTCAGAGCAATGGAAATATTTAGAATAATAATGACATATTTTACGCTTCTGGTTTTAAATAAAAAACAACGGTGTTATCTGTGATGTTGTCCTCTTCCTGGTCTCCGCAGCGAGGTGGACAACCCGAGGCTACAAACACATGAAATGTACGTCTGAAACAGCACATGGAAAACACGTTAACTGTGTGTTGTTTGAGCGTTAACGCGATAGACACACGTAATCTCCCACATTTTTGGCCCAGCTATCCTTGGTTAACTTCACGGTCAGAATGCTAAAAATGTAAACTTTTCACACACGCTGTGGTGTTAGTGTGTAGCAGTGAAATCGGTCCCAGCTGAAACACTTTCACCCAGCAAATGTTCCAGACATTGTCTAGAGCAGGGGTACTCATTTGCACACGCACGTCCTGGAGGTAAGGTATCCAGCACGTTTTAGTTTCAACACACCTGACATCAATCAGCAGGTGATTAACAGGCTTCTGCAGAGCCTGAGGAGCTGTTTCATCGGTGAATCAAGTGTGTTGAATCCCAGAAACCACTACAACATGCTGGATTCCAGACTTCCAATTGAATACCCCTGGTCTAAACTATTGACCAGGTTACCAGTATAGGAAGATTTTATGTCATAATGGAAATAAACAGCTGTTTTTAGTAATAAGTGGTATAGTGCACAGGCCTAATGTCAAGCCAGGGACAGAAAATGTCAAGTATTGTGCAGAAATGTCTAAAGTTTTACTTTGGATGAGGGCTGGGCAATAGCAATATTTATTTTGAAATCAAATTTTCTGATAGACGCAGGAGAACGTATCGATAGAACTTTGATATAAAGATTAGAGCCACATGGCTCTTTACCAGCCAGACTCTGACACAAGTCAGTGACTCGATGCAACATGCTGGGTTCCTGATGTAGGACACTTTTTGCTGATTGGCTTAATGAACTGACCTGTACTGGAATGTTTACTGTGTGAAGTGCCTTCAGATGACTCTGGTTGTGATTTGGTGATTTATAAATAAACTGAATTATCCAATGACAGCAAATTTGAGAAGATTTACTTTAAGCAGCATTTATTACACGTATCCTCTACACGCTGTGCTCCAGAACCAGAGGAGAAAGTCAAAACCAAACACACACAGACATTGGTGGACTAAGCTAATCGATCCCTGCACAATAGATTGCTACAACAGCTACAGAGGATGTAAAAACTTACAGTTTGCTTTCCTGAGCATAGACAATGTCTGTTTTATTGTCTAGATGTTATTATCTGATAGCTGTTTACATTCTCACTGACATCAAACATTTTTGTCTTTTTATATTTCTTTTTATTGATTATTCTTATAGAAGCTAAAGGCCTATTTAAAACAAGCGGAGAACGTTTGAGAACTTAGATTTTTAGAAGGTTTTTTTTACCCTGCAGACAGTTTCAACCACTCCTGCAGTCGTCATCAGAGCTAGCCGCTAGCCAGCAGCCAGCAAGGTAAAAAAAACTTTTCCTGAGTTAAAAACAACCTAAAAATGCAATCAGAGGTGACGCACAGAAGGAACATGCAAAAGATGGTTGAGAACTTATATTTTGCTACCTGTTTTATCGAGTCCTATTCTCTAAAACCTGAAGGTTTTAGTTTAAAATAAACCTCTTTTTCTAATCCAAAACAAGTCTGTAATGTTTGAAAGTAAATCTTTAAAATAGAAGAGAGCCTTCTGATATCTTCAAATCTCACGTAAAAGGGCCATAAAACTGTCAACATATATATTAGTTTCGTCAATATTAACCAATATGGAAACTAATACTGTAATGGGAGTTGTTTCCTTATCACCCAGCCCTGCTTCAGCATGCAGCTAACAGGATCTGAAAACATCTGGACTCCTTTACAGGAGCACCATGGTGGACCATCAGGAGAAAACACACAGGGAACCTTTAGATCCCGGAGCATGTGGTCGCCGCATCTTAAAACGGACACTAAAATGATTGTGAATGTGTTGATAGGAGTGAGGCAGCAGAAGGTCGAACCTTCACGGAACTTTTACTTCTAGTTTCTTCAGACGCTGCGATCCCAAAAGGTTTCAGAGGATAACCTAAAGGTTTCCGGATAATCTGTTAAATAAAGCCGTCATTTTAGGTCAGAGCTCAGACAGGCGCAAGGACTCGTTCTGAACCGTACAACTTCCTGTTTTTGTTTCCACCTCAACACTCCCATCAGCACAGAACAGCTGATCTCCAGTCAGGAGCACCAGCAGGTGGAACACTTCCCCTGGTGGGCACAGCCACACTGGAGCTGCTGTGGAAATGTTAACCCCATGCAGCCTCCGCCCAGATGTTTGTTTACAAGTCAGATCCGAGGTCTGCGTGCTTCCTTCTGCAGCTGAAGGTTAAAACCCCGAATTGTTCCTCAGCAGCTGACCTAGCACAGGAAGCTGCTGTGTGTTCATGCATTTCCTTCCCTGCTGTTGGGATCATGGAACCTGGAATTGGACCGGATCTCTATCTGCCATTGTATTGACTATTTTTTGTTGTTTGATGTTACTTTTTCTGCTTAATTTTACTTTTTGTCTCATTTTCAGTCACAGGAAGTTGCTCAGAACCCTGACAGAATTTCTTTGTGACTCTAGTACGAATCTGAAACTTCAAACCATGTTGAGTTTTTAAAGGGGCATTATGGAAGTTTGACAGCCAAAACATGTATAGAAATAATAAATGTCTTCTTCACACATTCTCCTGCAATGCCCTGGTCCTGTAGAATGAGCTCTGACATTTTTACTGTGATTGCCTGTTTTTCTGTAAAATCGCAGAAAAAGAGAGCTGCTCGGGTCGAGCAGGCTGCTTCATGCGCGTTCACGCTCAGGCATCGCCCTCCGAACCGTTCTTTGAACGTTGTTTCAGCTATCATCAAGGATATAAATGTTACAGATGCAGAAGACACCACTGGCGCTTTAGCTCATTTAATAAAATTTCGGGCTTTCGTGCTGAAGACCCAGGTTCAATTCCAGATGTGAACATTGTTGTTTCAGAATTTCATTTTTACATTAATGGTATATTTTTTTTACAGTAAGATGCCCAAATTTTTATTTGAGATTCACTGAACGGCATTGAATTCACAGATTAAAAATATGTTGGTTCAACTTTCATTTTGGAACCATTTTTCAAGCAAGGGAAGGGAATGATCTGAGCATGCAGGAGGACTGACCCATCATAAACCTTTGTCGGCTGTGCTGAAGAGAAAGGTACAGAACCATATTATTTAATTAATTAGCTGCACGTTCTCCTGTCCTCTGTGCCGCACACACACACACACACACACACACACACACACACACACACACACACACACACACACACACACACACACACACACACACACACACACAAGGGACTGTCAGCTCTCAGAGCTCTGTGAAGCTGATCCCCGTCATCTTCACAGAGCTTCGTCTCAGCTGTTATTTTCGTTAAGGAGTGTGCACGTAGGGCATGCGCGCCTCGTGCACAAGCCTCCTACTGAAGCGGCCAGAGGGGGCAATCACGAGCATAAAAATTCAAAACTCCGTAAAGTCCCTTTAAGGCAACTGAACTTTTTCTCTGTTTTTAAAGACGATTTTCTGCTAATTGAGATTTTTCAATCTGAGTCATTTCTGAGTTCATTAATCTCATGGGATGAGAAGCAAAACCAGCATAGAAACTCTACGATCTTCTCATCTATTAAAAAAACCTCTAAAACATTTTAAAGTAATGATGTGGATTCTAAGTTCTAGGCAGAGCAGCTTCCTGAGTTCTGGGGTTAGAAACACAAATCCAGACTGTGTCTCACTGCCGACCAAACGGATAAAAGACCATGTTCCACAGATCGGCTCAGAGATAAACAAGTTCTTTTCTCATGTTTATGAAGAAACTCAGTGACCCAGTGTGTGTGTGTGTGTGTGTGTGTGTGTGTGTGTGTGTGTGTGTGTGTGTGTGTGTGTGTGTGTGTGTGTGTGTGTGTGTGTGTGTTAAAGGCCGGTGTTGGAACCAGCAACCTCGGCTGTGTGGCGACGGCGCTCTGACGGAGCCGTGGGAGATGAGCAACAGGAGGTCTCAGACGCATCAAAAGCAAAACGCGGCTTTGTTTCACCGCGGTTCCTTTTCTCGTCAGATTCTTTATTCAGAAGCCTTTTGTCTCATTTACCTCCCGTTCCCCTGATAACCTCTTGTTTTGTTTTTATTCAGCATTCTGTTGTTCCCTTTTTTCTGTCTCTCATCATCAGAAATTCCTGAAAAAAACGTCTTTTTTCTCTTGTCATTCATCAGGACACATTTAAAATCCGTTTGCTTTTGTAATGAGATAAACACACATCTTCTGAATGAACGCTTCCTTTTATAGATGCTTTTACGTCATCTGAATGCAATCTCTACAACTGAACACGTGAAACAGGAAAAATTAGAATCTGGTGCAAAAGTTCATTTATGTCACTAATCCAACGTAACGCTGAAACTAATCTATGAGACAGACTCATTCCAGGCTAATCCAGATGTTCCAGCCTTTATCTGTTATACCTGTGGTGATGTTGGCTTACAGCTGATGAAAACCCACATTCTAAATCTCAATCAGAATATTGTGATAAGGTTCACTATTCTAGACTCAAAGTGTCACTCTCTAATCAGCTGATGAATGCAGAACACCCACAGAGGGTTCCTGAGCATTTAGATGGTCTCTCAGTCTGAGCTGGATTACTGACATAAATGAACTTTTACACCAGATTCCAGTTTTTATGGGTTCACCTGTCAATAAAAGAAAATAAAGTCTGGTTTGGTTAGTTTCATCTGTAGCTTTTAGAACATGTTTGAAGGAGCTGATTGAGTCATTTCTGTTTTGTGATCACAGGTAGAACATGCGGTTCTGAGAGGACGGGGTTCTACCTGTAGGACCCGCTTGGTGAGTCCGGTTTTCTGTGCAAGCTGCTTCAGGTCCTTGGCGTCTGGATTGTGGTTGATAGCAAAGTAGGACTTCATTGTCCGCAGCTGGTGGTGCTTAAAGGAGGTCCGCATACGCTTGGTCTTCTGACTGGAGCTGTACTGGGAGTCCCGGTCCATAGACTCGCCGTCATTCTCGTTACAGCTCAGCGCTGCAGGAAACAGGTGGGAAAGAAGGTTCAGGGTAAGTCACATCGCTCTCTATAAGACTCAGAGGCTCATCAGGACCCACACAAGTCCCCGTGAGTTCAGCTGGGTGAAACTGAGACAGAACAAATGCTGGAGAGCTTCAGGAGGAGGGAATCGCAACTTCCTTTCAGTATTTTTAAACTGAATCTGGCATGTTTGTGACCCAGCAGCTGTTCCCTCCAGCTGCAGAGCGGCCTCCTCTCCTCACCACGTGTGTGTGTGTGTGTTTCTGCCTCTCCATCCTGGGAAGAGGTGTGAGCGTGGCTTCAGTGAGCACACACAAGCTCACAAATGCAACAACACACACAAATTCCTCCCAGCCTGCAAATTTCTTGGCAATATTCAAAGTGTTGCTGCATACATAACAGTTCAATATCAGAACGCTGCAAATGATGAATATGAAGTGAGTGAAAAGCATCAGAATAACACTTCACTTAATTAGCCCATACACACCAGGCAGAACAAATGTTTTCCAGCCAAAGCATATGCTGCTGCGTCCTCACCAAACAAACCAGGAGCTTTAGTTAAAACGCAGCTCGCCTGAGTCGGCGCTGGTCCTGCAGCAGGACGGGCCGGGCTGAAGGGGCTGGGGGTCAGCTGAAGCGCTGCTGCTGTTTCTGAGGGGAAACAGGAGAGGGCGCTCTTCACCTTCCACCCTCTACTCCACTCCAGAACAAAATCACCTCTAACCAGAGTGACAGAGATGGTCAAAGATTTATCATCACCAAATGAAAATGTTGATGCAGAGAAGCAAAAACACAACAACCAGCTCCCCACTGGTTCTGTAGGTGTGTGTCTCCGAGCAGGTTCTGATCCGTTGTTAGAACGTCTTTATAAAGGAGGAGAAACATGAAAGTCAGAGCAGGAAGTGGTTCTGTAGGAGCCCCAGCTCCCTCTTCCTGTGAATAACCCATCAAATCACAGGGATCTACTGGTGCACTCCCATTCTGGCACTGTCCCAGTGTGTGTGTGTGTGTGTGTGTGTGTGTGTGTGTGTGTGTGTGTGTGTGTGTGTGTGTGTGTGTGTGTGTGTGTGTGTGTGTGTGTGTGTGTGTGGAGGGCTTGTAGACATGTATGGAGCCTGACAAGTGGAAAAGGGTGAAAGCAAAAGCTGGAGCATGAAAAAAATCTTTTCATCTTCTGAAAGCCGACATGGGAGGAAAACCCACCGAGCGTTTAAAATGACTGCTTCATCAGTTAGCACATGTACTGTTATGATAATAATACTAATTATTATTATTATTAATGACAATCAGCCAAATTCCAAATCCAAACATTTAGGAGTAATGTCACATTTATAACATTTATCAGTTGTTTGACATTTTTGACAGTTTCTGTTGTTTAGGTTTTTTTTTTTTTTTTTACTTTAACTGAACAACAACAACAACACAAAAACACCGCCCTGCTGGAGCCAGGACTTCTGACCCGGTTCTGGTTTCAGGCTGGACTCAACCAAGCCCGACGTCCCCAGAACTCCAGCGGGTTTCATTTAGGTTTGTTTGAATTAAAGAACTGCTGTCTGACTGCATTTAAATGCGTCTAAATAAAACCAGAGCACCACTGGCACAGGAGCTGTAAAACATAACATGTAAGCAACAAAGCAGGCAGCTGCAGCGTTTACAGAACTATTTAATTCCAATTCAGGAACATGAATGTTCTCATGACCCACTGTGTCCAGCAGGCAGACCAGTGATTCAATGATTTCATTCAGTTATTTTGCTTCATTCCTCAACTGAACTAGAAAAAAAATACTAAAGGATCAATAAAAGTACATTTCCAAAACATGGCAATATGTGAGTTAAAGGGTTAATTTTACATAATAATAATAATAATAATAATAATAATAATAATAATAATAATAATAATAATAATAATGTATTATTCTTATTCTTATTATTCTTAGTATTATTATTATTATTATTTTATTATTATTTAAGCCTTATATATCCAAATGAATACAAATATAAAACTACATGTTTTATTTTGGACCCGTGAGTGTTAATAAACAGTTTGTCGGCTCTTTGTTGACTGAGTTACTTTTGCACAGTGAACTACATTTAGAACCTAAACACAAACTGCGCTACTTGAACCGTTTTCCTGCCCTGCGTTTCTCCGGTTTCTTACCGGCGTTATATGCAGCCAGCTCGGCCCCGGGCCCCGGGCTCTTCCGCTTCCTAGGCCGCCCTTTCTGCACCGTCCCCACGCCGTTGAAGTAGGATAGTCCGAGCGCGTTGGCCGGACCCAGGCCCTTGTGCGGGGCCACGTCGGCGTGGTTAAAATGAGTCTGGTATTCTCCCTGGATCAGAGTCTCAAAGTGCAGGCGGCAGTAGACCAGACTGTCCTTCATGCCGAAGTGGTCTCCGGTGGTCAGCATCTTGCTGCAGGTGGTGCAGGTGAAGCAGTTCAGGTGGTAGACCAGGTCCCGGGCCCGCATCACCATCTCCGAGGCCGAGATCCCCAGATGGCACCGCGCGCATCTCTGCACCGAAAATCTTCTGCGGACAACACAGAACTTCATTAGCGGCCGAACCGGTCTCACTCCATCCGTGTGTGTGTGTGTGTGTGTGTGTGTGTGTGTGGGTGGGGGTTTCTGCATGCAGACATTTAAATAAAACAGTCTTTGTGAATTTAGAGTTAAATCTAAATGTACTATTTTTGGGGGCTAAACGTCAAGAAAAAAATCAACAGTGAGCAGAAGCCTGAGGTTCTATAGGTGTGTGTGTGTGTGTGTGTGTGTGTGTGTGTGTGTGCGTGCGTGCGTGCGTGCGTGTGTGTGTGGTTCCGGTTAAGAGTTATTCACTCAAACCGTAAAACAAACGGTTTCCTTTATTCTTGGAGAAGTTTTTCTAAAATAAAGCTTTTTCTTCCTTTTCATTTAAATTAAATTCGATGTAAACACCATCCTAATGCCAAGCCCAGTCGGAACCGACCCGAACCGGACCTACCTGTAGTAATCCTCCTTGCAGTAGATGCTGCCGTCCTTGCTGAAGCAGGTGAGTTCGGACTCCAGGTGGAGTTTACACTCGCAGCACTTCAGGCAGCGCATGTGCCACTGCTTGTCCACGGCCAGCAGGTAGTACCGGTCCGAGATCTTCCTGCCGCAGCCGGCGCAAAGGGCCACGCGCTCGCTGCTCATGCACGGCAGGGACTGGAGTGGCACGAGGTCGGTGGAGCAGGGCACCGCGTTACCGGGCCGAGGGAGGACAGGAGAGGAGACAGAGTCAGAACGGAACCACAATAAATCACAACAGCAGCGTTCACCGGAAGTCTCAGATTCAGTTGAAACAGAATTAAACAAAAATAACCAAAAGTTCTACGCGGTCACCGGGGGAAATCCCCGGTAACGCGCCAGTTTCAACTGGAACCAGAATAAATCCGTTTGTTTAAACTGAGTCTGCATCAGGAGGCCGAAATATTACAATTATTTATTTCTGTTTAGTTACATTTTATAAAATGCATTTCAATTCTAAAAACTGGGGCAGGAATTTTACGAACTTAAATAAAAGTAACAAAACAAAACAGGTAAACAAAAAACTTTGAAACTATTAATGAATGCGTGTTTGATGGACGCCTGCAGCTGTGCCAGCTCTGGTTTATTAATAACGTTTAGAAGGGGCTGTTGCAGCATTTACGCATCTGCTGGTTCTGTTTGGACTGAAACCAGAGGAGAAGCAGCGCAGCCGCGGTCACACGTCCGCAGGCGGGCATGCGCCTGCAGGAGCTGGGGGAGGCCGGGCTCCTACCGTCTCTGACTCCCCCATGTCGATGGCGGAGCTGATGGCCGCCGACTCGCCCTTCCCTCTCCGGTCCAGCTCCTCCACCACACCGTGCACGTCGCCGCCGGGAAGGCCGTGGAAGAGCATGGTGGCGGCGGAGGGGAGGATGTTGTAGCTGTTCTCTTCGGTTCTGTGGGTCAGGATGTCCATCAGAGGCGACCAGCCCGCGCGCTCACGCACAAAACACGCGTCAATGTTCGCTGTTCCCTCGACTGCAGGTGAGAATCCCAGATCAGCGAGGAGCAAAACCTGGACACGTGTTCTCCTCTCTGCGTCTCATCTGCCAGAGGCGACCCGAACCCGAACCCCTGCAGCTCTCATCATCACTCAGCTCGGATTTGGGTATGTTCCGTTTCTCCTGCGGGATCCGGGTTTCTCTCAGGTGTGATGGGAAATCTTCTGGTCGTCAGCTGGTCCGTTCAGGAGGAACAAACATACCCGGTCTGAAAGCTGCCGGTGCGCGAGCGTCGGCGGCGGAACCTCCTCCTCACCGGATCTCAGCGCGGTTCGGACTAAATTCTCCACTTTGTTTTCAGTCTGGAGCAGCGAGGTTCTGGAGCTCGGAGAGCAGCGGTCCGATGATGCTCAGAGCAGCAGCTCTGCTGTTTCTGTTGCTCAAACAGTTCAGCAGGAAAATCAAAGTCAAAAGACAGAAACTAGATCCTGAAGGAGTCTAGTTCACACGCGGCCTCCAGTCCCGCCGCTCAGCCGAGAGCTCATCAGAACTCTGGTTCCGTTCGGTCTTTTAGGAGTCATGACACCAGAAGAGGAGGAGCTGCTGGTCTGATCTCTGAGTCCGCTGGACCCCAAAACCGCCGGTCCTCCTTCTCAGGTCCCGGTTGGACTCTACGCTCCTTATCTACGGGCCCCTGTTGCGTCACCACGCACCGTTTCCGTTCATTGGCTGCTCTGCCGTCGCCGTTCAGTTTTCGGTCGTCCTCTCCCGGAGCGGTCTGGAGGCAACAGCCCGGTCACCGGAACCTTCACACCCGTGCGTCCGCTCCGTGGCTGCTGCGGAAGCTTTTCCGGTGTGAGGAAAAAGCGGAGTCTTTACAGGTGTTGTGAGCGTGCGTGAGCGCGTGCGTGGAGGAAGTCTGTCGGGACCTTCAGTCAGCTGATGCGTGGAGGGTTGTAATCGGTACTACTGCCTCTCCGGGTCACCGGAACACGGAACCAGTTAATTAAGGTTTTTATTCCTGAGCTCAGAATCCAAAGAGAAACAAGAACTTTCTTTCTGATTTGTAGATATTATTATTGTTATTATTATTATT